GTAAAATATTTTATGTAGAATGTTGATGGAAATAGTCCTGATTTAGTAACTGATTTTTAGGTCATCAATCTTAGTAGAAATTGAAGACTGTGTAACTATTACTGATTAAAACTGTAACTGATAAAATATTTGTGTTTCTAATAACGTATAAATGCTTGATCTAAGACATTTATAAGGCACATAGTAAAATATGTGATTTTCTTTTATTTCAAACAATTCCTTATTGTTGTTTCCAGATAAAAACATTTCAATTTTCTGAAATTTAAATTACTGAACAAAACAATGCTCAGTAACATCTTGTGATTGCATGGAAATTGAGGTCTTGATGATCCAAAAAATTCTTAAAACAATTTCAAAACGTGCCATACTTCAAGCTATTCATACGCATTGTTTCAAAAAATGAATAGCAATAAAAGAAAAAATATCAATGTGTGATAAATCGAAGGAACAATAGAAAAACAGTGATTTTTTTTTTTAAATTAACAGTCAAAATTAAGAGTTGCAGTTATATTAGAGCAGAGTTTTAGTGCGTTTTGTTCATTTTTTTTATTACTTTGTGTTTTAAAACACATAAAAAATACAGTTCAGCTATAGAAGAATTTAATACAAAATGTTTAAGTATTTTTAGAATACTGATAAGAATTCTGTGTAAACTTTTATATAGATTAAAAAAAAATCATATTATTTTATCTTCTTTAATTTAAGTAAAATGTATTTTATCTTTTATTAGCATGAGTCCCTCAGGATATTTCAAATTAATTATTGTTGAGAATGATTACTATTATTTTAATTTGTCTATCCGGTTCAGGTTTACTACAAGGAAAGCAAATTCCTTTTAACACTGTCTGTGATATAAGATGAATGAGTTTAATATCTGTCATTTTGTTTATTTCAGTAAATTTTGTTTGTACTCCATTTAGAAACTTAGCTCATTCTATCATCTGCTCTGTTTTTGTCCTATCTGTGCCTTTTTTTGATTATAAAAATGTTTTTTACAACTAACAATGTTTTTGTAGTAAAATTATGACTATTTTGGCCAAGATAAATTTTACACTATTAAATCCACATTAAGATAGGCCTTGATCTGTGTTGTGCTTGCGCAAGGCAGATGTCAACTCACCTGCTTCCGAAAAGGACATATCAAAGAGACACACGCTCATTAGTTCTTCGGAGAACATTCACAATGCAACGTGTAATGAATTAATCATGATTCAAAGCCTTTTAGAGAGTTGACATACGTTTTAACAGATATAATTTCAAACTGTTTAGTAAATTTTTGTTCATATGCAAGTTTTGCTAGATGAATCGTGATTATCTTTGTTTTTCACCGTTTGACCAGTGTTCCAAAATGTAAATCATACAATTGTAACTTAGACATTTTAAACTACATTCTTCATATAGATCATCTATCTAAGAAAATGCTGGTTTTTCAAAAATATATTAAATGAACTTCTGTGAGAGTTAAAATCATTGTACTCATTGATAACTATCTAAAAGATCTGAAAAGTTTAGTATGGCTTCAAGTTTATCAAGTACTGAAGAGACTGATACGTGAGCCTTTTTAAGAAAACTTTTGAATTTATGAAGTAGGAAAGTTCTTGAAGTCAAAGAATATAAAACTTCTAAAGAGCAATTAAAATACAATGTCATTGCAAACATAAAATATCATATTAGCAACCGAATTAGCAACCGTGTTGAATAAATATGGGTGACTAAATTGTATAATTTCTTATTTTTTATGTTACATATTTGAATCTCTGCAGTTAGAATATTTAAACAGAACCAGTAAGACTTATAACACCTAACTTAACTTATTTAGAACAATATTTTGATAATTCTATCTGAATAACCGTTCTTCGCATGAAGTGAAAAAATACAAATAATCAATAAATCAGTACTACAAACATACTATGAAATCTTGCTCGTAATTAAAAGATACACTGCAACAGAAATGCATAACATAAAGTAATTCCATTTTTTATTATTTTTTGGCGTCCCGGTGACTTTTTTTAAATTATATTCCTCAAAACAGGTTTTAGCAGTTTGATTTCATGGTCAAAATTGCCTTATCAAGTGATTTTCATTTGTTATTTTCGAGGGGTCATAACGAATCTCTTCCCACAGTATTAAACTGCGAAGTATTGATTCAGTTTTGATAAGTACCTTCTTTACTATTAAAATGCATAATGCCTATATTAGTATATTTGCTGTCTATTACAACTGAAGCAAATACCATAATACACGCAGAGTCTATTATCCAAATTAGTTAAAAATTATTTGGTTAATAATGGCGTGGTGAGTTTTTACTTTTTTGATAAACGATTTAGTATCATTTATCGATAAATTTGTACATATTTCCTTTAATATGTAATATATTACAAGTACAAGATGCAAAAAAAATGATAAAAAACAATTTGTTGAGGAGAAAAGAATATTAATATCTAAATACATCAGATTCCAGAGATTCTTCGGATTTCAGTTTATTAAATCCTTAAGTTATGTTTGTACTATGTCTTTGTCACTTCATACCTTTTTTGCCCGACCCTGTGACATTAACCGCATATTCAACTCATAACGTGATGACATAGTTGGCTTTTGCTACCGGGTTTGTTTTGATCATTGAGTATACACGACAAAACAAAGTAAAAAAATATGAAATATAAAATAACGTGCAACGAATTATTTCACTGTGTTAGCTAAATCCTTAAAACTCTGCATTCAAATCAATTATTAAAATCTTTACAGGAAAAAAAATTAAATAAAAGCAGAAATATTAAAATAAATAAATATGTAATCAAAGGTTTAAATGAATGGTAGAATGAACCGAAAAAAAATCGATTTTTCACATTATACGAAAACAAAATAAAAAACTTTCCTAGAATTAGATCTTTTTTCCTTCAATTTCCAAAATAAGTTCTATGCTAATTATTTTTTTGATAAAAGCAATTTTTAATACGTTTAAAAAATTCTTTTGAAAGTAAAAGAGGCAGATATCAATTGCAATATCATAAATGCTTTAATTGAAATGAAACTAAATGATAATATTTTCTTAATGGAAATTTTTATCATGTCCCTTATAACACAAAAGTATATTCAAAAAAATATTTTCTTCACAGAATTGATGAAGAAAAATAAAGCTTCGATTTGATGTATGCAAATAAACTGTTCAAATTTATACTTTTGAGTATGGGAGGGGGAAGAGAAGCGTATTCAAACATTGGATATTATAATATTAGCTTTTTAGGAAATAATGAATCACAGCAAAAATTAAATCATCTAAACGAAAATTAAGTCTGTAATGAATATCAAACTAGAAATTTTTTTAAAAGGAGCACATTTTATTGCAGTTTGTAATTTCAATTCTAGATTTCAATTGCTTTCAACGCTTCCATATGATTAATAAGTTGAATGTGTCATATGTGGCTTTACATGGAAATTAAACCGTAATTATAACTGTCTACTTACGTGTTTTGGGGGCGTCCAGGAGGTGACGGAAAAAAAGTGTTTATTTTCTTTAACTAAATCAATATTTTCTTCTGTTAGCTACTATGAATTTTGAATGGAGTAAAAAAAAAACGTTTAATTGGCGTGAAAACAGTCCTCTTTCAGATAAGAATTCTCATAGAAATCTCCTAATTCGTGAGATGTGTGTGTTCCGTTAGGTCTACATGGGTTATGCAAAATACCTTTTAAAAGTGCACTTCCCGTATATAAATGTCACTTATATTCAGTGCCATTCGTCACGATGGCTATTGAAAAATTTTGATAGACAAAATATACCAGAATCGAGCAATTTTCTCTGACAATTACTCTATTGAAAATACCGGACGCTGGCAGAAACGTTTCTGGTGTTATACGCTAGACTCCAACACATATTTTAGCAACTTTTCAGTAATTAAATGTCTCTTTTTAAACTTTGCGACAATAAAACCAGCAAAGACTTAGAAACTGATAAAAAACATTTACTTATTTGTCTTTCTGGTATAATGAATAAAACAGGAAAAATGCAAAATATCCTTATATTAACCAGTAAAAAGTGGCTTTATATTTAAAAAATCGTTGCTACCATACATTGCTTTGGGTGATCCATTTAAAGTTACATTTTCTTTTAAATAACAAAATCTATTACATTTAAAAGCCTAAAAAAATAGTAGGTGTATATAAAAATATTTTATGAATATGAAATTTTATGTATAAATATAAAACATTTTTTTTTGAAATACAAATTGCTTGAAAATTATTACAATTTTAGTTTTTTTCCGCGAATTTCGTCTCAATTTTTCCCATTAAATATTGTATATTTATTTATTGTTGTGGAGAAGTATATTTTTCTTTCGTGATCTTTAATTCATAAGCTTGTGTTTGAATTTATATCCATCAAAAGTAACAAAAGAGAGATATTAGATGTTGCGATGCATATATCTTAACATTTATTTATGTAGAAAGTTTTGAAAATAAAAGAGCTTAGTGCAGAGATAAATATCGCTCCTAATTTGAATTATTTCAAGTCTCTATAGCAAGTAAAATATTCGAGTGCAGATGATTATTTTTCAAATCCACGTAAGCATTAATTTTTTTACGATTAATTGAAGAACAAAGTGTTCTTAAGCAAAACTAAAATAATTGTTAATTTGTCTTTAAAAAATATTCCTACAAAATACCGTTTTCAAAGGAAAAAACAGTGATGAATAAGAAGCGATTAAAAGGGTTGTTGTCTTTTACTCTTGAAATTAATTGAAATTATGACGCCAAAAAATTAAGTAAAAATTTGTGTACTCGTAATCTTTTACTAAATCGACCCTATTTTTGCTGGAAAAAAGGTAGTATTCATACGATTTGGCGAAAAAAAATAAGTAAATGAACATATTATTTTATGAAAACTAACTGAGCTTCAATCAAATGGAAAATATGTGAAGCAGATGGCAACGGTAGAAAATGAATGCATAAATCTGTGATGAGATGACATTGATGCGAAGAAGGCATGTTTTGAAAACAAATAATTCGAGCGACGTATTGACAGATTGTTTGTTCAATTCATTATTTATTGTTTTCGAGCAAACAACATCTTATGAAAAAAATTGCATTGAAATGAGAGTATAAATATCTAAATATGTTCTCGTTATTTTATATTCTTGAAAGAATACTCGATTAAGTGGTAAGATTTCATTTGCATTGATTTTAAGAATCGTTAATCTGTTAAATAATTATTGTAACACGATATTCTATGCTATGTATGGGTTCTAAGGAAGCTAAACTAAAATAAAATGCAATTTTCTTTTTTTAACAGCTTCCTCAGATTGATACTATTTTATCAGCTATAATTGTACTACAAATGAATTTTTGCATGCTGTTAGGCTTTTGATCTGTTTTGCAGTATTGTTTGGCACAGCATGTCTATAACTGAACCTTGTGCCCTAACCTCTACATTCAAATCCTCATTTATTAACTTTACTTGGTGAAACTTCACACCAGTATCTTATTGCTTATTTGAAAGACAATAGGTACTTTCCGGAACTTTACTGCATATTTAGTTTCAGTCAAGTGATTGACGTGGTATAGCATTTTTTTGGCTTTTGTGCCAATAATTTTTAACTGAATAAAATAACTTAGAAACTACTCTAAAAATCAAAAAATTTGATCCTATTACTGATTATTATTTTAGGTTTAGAATTAGATTAAAAAAAAGATAATTTTTGTATAATTTTCATTGCTTATTAAAAGAATGCTAAGAGAAATTACATCAAATAATAAAATTATATGAAATAAGCCTTCATGCAATTTCTTCTCAATGCATTTAGTGGATTAAAATCATAACATTTCTGATAACATTTTTCATAATATTGGAAGGGGCAAACAACTCGCCACAATTCTTTTATTCTTCTACATATAACATGGGGATTGTCTACAGTTAGCTTTGTGTAAGTTTTGTTCAATGACTGCAATAATAAAATTATCAAACAGACATAAAGTCATTTATCAGGTTAAACTATTATTTTCTTCTGTAAACTATGCATCAAAGAGCTATTAAATCCTCGTTTTACCCACATACCCAGCTTTGACCTTTCTATATTACCTTATACAAGATAACACTCTAAAAAATAAGTTTTAACTTTAGATTTCCCCAAAATTTCATTTGTTACATCATTTGATTTTTCAGGTTAACGTAAAATTTATAAACATGAACGCAAATACAGCTGTTGTTTTGCTGCTCCTTTTTCTGCAATGCTACGAAGGGCGTAAAAGTAACCCACCTCTCTCATTTATTAAAAATTTTTAGCTATAGAAGCTATTAGCTATAGAAGCTATAAACATTTCCATTTAATAATATTCTTTTTTATTCTTTTACAGTATCTTCAGAAAAAGATGCACCTGCTTCCGTTGACAAAGTGTTTGTATAAAAGTTCTTATTATACTTGTTTAAAATCATTTGGAAACTTTTAAAATTATTTTTCATAGATTTAAGTGTTTAGATATGGATAATGCTTTTAATTTTTTGTCATATTTGTTGAGTAAATATTGCTTGATCTCGAAGATAACGTAAAACGCATAGGTCAATCTTATTAATGGAGATTTTAATTAAATATTTATCATATCTTGTATAATTTGATTATATCCGTAGGACTTTCTTTTTATTTTGTTTGATTTTTTCCTGTTTTGCCTTGGACTAACTTTTTTGGAACACTGAATATTATTTTACGATGAGTACAAAATAAAACTTTCATAAAACTTTTTTTGTGTATGGTTCTGTATAACTGAAACCTACTGATCTGTCAGGAAAGTTTACATTCATCAAGTCATTTAGGATGTGGATTAGGTAGTGTAGTTTTGTTTGGTCACAATCTATTTGTTCAGTTGTCATTCTATACTTAATTTATAAGATTGGTATTATTAGAATGTGTCGCGAAAATTACCTTTTGGAATCGATTGACTTCCAGGGGTACTTGATTATTCAAACAAATACCTCACGATCTTCAGGTGATCCATTAATTATTCAATCTTTTTTTTTTGTTTTAGATATAATTTTAATTAGATTCAGTTTTGAACAAATATTGATTTCACATCAAAAGTTGAATTTTTCTCTTGTTCCACAAAATCCAATATAACATTTTATCTATATTTTTGATTACGTAGTTAGTGCGAAAATGCAGAAATTAATGTTTTATTCCTACAATAGCAGCAAATCTAAATTAACAAGCATAAATTGCAAAAATATTACCCACATTTAATTAACTAATTATCTATATTTCGTTTTTATTATTGAATTTAACTTTCAAAGTTAAAAATTCCTCTATACTTCCAAAAATGACTTGAATGAAAAAATTGTATATATTTCTACGAAAAGAAAGAATTGAATTCCTCTATACTTCCAAAAATGACTTGAATTAAAAAATTGTATATATTTCTACGAAAAAAAATAAGTGATAAGTAGTAAAACTAATGCTTAAAAAATCCCCAACCTAGATGTATAATAACCACCTAGTTGTAGACGCAGTATAGCCCTAACCGGCTCTTTGTGTCAAAAACTTCAACAAAAAAAAATTGGTTGCGGTAACGTAAGAATATAGTACTCAGAAGGAATCTACGTCACTTAAACTATTTGATATAATATTTTTTGTATAATTCAAGCATTTTGCCAGCAAAATAAATGTTATTATAGGTAAATTCTTTGTCTGAGTAATATTTCTTACTTTTATTATTCCTTTCTTACGTCCAAATTTTTATCACTTACTTATTGCTGATCATTTACAATAGCATTTGACCAACATGATTTCAGACTGGACCATGAAAGTCTTTTGTATTTCTCGAAGAAAAGAATACAATTCAATTTAAAGATATAATCACATTGTACTAATTATTTTCTTCATATAAGATTTAAATAGCTCTCATGAATATAGAAAGAACGACGAAACTCAAAGGTGAACAAAAGGTTTTTAGCCATTGAAAGGAGCAAAAATAATATGAAATTATTGAGTTCAGAATTAAATCAGATTTACCGGAAAAATAAATCAATCCGCTTCCAACTGAAACTGTCACTCCATTACTTAGCGTTGCAAGATGCAACTAGACTTGAAAGAGAAGTTTTCATATCTCGCGACTGCTTGTGGATAGTAACAATTTTGCTCAAAATTATCCAAAGTGGCTTTCATTAGTTATATTTTTATGAAATAACATTATTTGAAAATATTTTTTTTTTAAAAACTGTTCTGAGTTTTACTGATTTATAATTGTTAGATAAAATTTTGCCTTTCTTTAGGCAATACAATATGTACACTTTATAACAAAAAAATCGACGCACCAAGATGGAGTAGTGCGATAGAAACGAAAATTAGTGGATAGCAAGACAATGTACAGAATAGTAAATGATTAAAATTTCAGAGCAATTGAATAATTTATTGCAGAATTACAGTTACAAATTCAATAAGGTGTTGACCCGCCTCAAGCCTGGATACAAGCTGCCACACTGCGTGGCATAGACCGATAAAGCTTCCGGATTGTCTCTTGCGGTATTTCCTGCCAAATTCGATCCAATTGTCGAAGGGGGTCATCAACATTCCGTGCCAGATGCGATCGCCTTCCCATCATATCCCAGACATGCTCGATGGGAGAGAGATCTGGTGACCTGGCTGGCCAAGGAAGAGTTTGACAATCTTGCAGACAGTTCATAGCAACACGTGCCGTATGTGGTCTGGCATTGTCTGCTGAAAAACCAGCCCAGGGAGCTGCAAAAGGAACGGTAGCAAAACAGGCCTTAGGATGTCGTCGATGTACCGCTGTGCAGTAAGTGTACCTCTAATGACGACCAAAGGGGTCTGGCTGTCANACAAAATTTAGAAGAAAAAATTACTACTTTTTAAATATATTTTAATTTCTAACTTTTTTAACCCAGGGCGCAATATTTAAACAAAAATTTAACAATTACAAATATAGATCATACATACTGTAACAATAAAATCGATAATAAATCCGCTTAAATATTTTCTATATTGATTATAATATACTCTTATTACTGAATGAAGAGATATATAAATTATTTCAAAAATAATTTGAAATAAATAAAATATTCGAAGTTAAGTATTATCGATATTTGATACTAAATAAAACTGTCCTTTTTGTGAATAAGTTCAGTATTAAAAAAATATTATAAATAAAATGATCAAAGATGAAAAAAAAAATCCTTTTAATCAATACATATTAGGGTAGTGTCGGTTACCCCCCGCCCACTGTCAATTTCATATGTATAGAATATTTTTTCAAGTCAATGGGCCATCGGACATTAATTGTTATATTAAAAAAAAGATTATTCTCAAAGTTTCAAGTATTATGCAGCTGGTCACATGGTAAACAATAGTTTTGAAAATATGTTGAATACAGTAGTCAAATTTTTTTAAATTTCTATTTTTTTAAGTTAAACTATTCTTTTTTTGGTTTATTCTTTTTGCATTATTTAATTAGATCATAAAACAATAGAAACATACAAAAATATTGATTATTACTCAATATTATACGGAAATATAAGCAATACTCCCTAAGTAGGCAGGGCTACCCGACTCTCCCTTATACATATTTCAGACATTCCCTTCAACAAGCGGTACAAGTATGTGAAATGAAAGCTACATAAAATCTTTAAATTTTAAAGGCACAGTGGGTCTTTTAAATTCTGAGGCAAAAATGGTTCATTTTCTTTCACACTGAAATCAATTGTGCTGTGTCTTCAGACTTTAAGTGATTATAATTGCATTGCTGGTTTAAGGGATAGAGTGTTTAAATTCCAATGACGTGGCACGGGTTTGAATCCTATAACCGGAACGAATTCCGCACCTGGTTCACACCAACCACAGTACAGATATAATACATCCTCAGTAGTAAACGGATCATAGGTTAATCCCTTTGCAGTCAGTCTAACCCTGGGTGACTTTCGTGGTTTTTCTTTCCATGTAACGCAATGCGAAGTTTCGTCCAATACTTGATCCAGGAGTTTTCTTGTCCTCTTTATAGGGTTTAAAATTACAAGGCTAAGAAGTTGAGCATCAGTAGTCGTAAACTCAAAATTGTGCTGGCTGTTCAACAATGGTTATAAAATTATACCCATTAATTCTAAAATACAAAGAAAGTTTCATTCAAGGAATTACTGAATATATTAAATACACACAATTTTATAAGTTGTTTTAAATGTGTTGTTAAAGTAGCATGGTTATCGTAAAAGAAAAAATCATAATAATGTTATAAAATTGTCTTTTTTCTTATCATTACAGTTATCCAAAAATGCTGTTTCGTTTTACCCAAAATGAATGTAACAGAAGCCACTGCTTCCCCCCCGATTCGAAGATGGCAAAAACTCATCTTACTCAAAAAATCCAATAGTGCTTGAGTGGCTTCCAATGATCATGAGTACAAATGTGTTATGAAAAAAAAAATTATTGTACTCGAGCATTACTACACAGAATATTTCAAAAATAAAAATATTATCTCATTATGTGCATGCTTGTTTTTTTACATCCATAAGTTTAGTGACATAACCATTTTTTTAATTTAAGATATATCTATAGATGTTATTACTATTTTTACATTTGCAATTATGTGACGGATTCTATGAATATGGAATATTTAAAAAAGAAAAGAGGTTTTCTTTAACAATATAGGCAAGCTCAATAACTGGCATTTTCTAACTTGAAAATTTAAATATTCAATTGATGTAATTTCATTCATTGATTTAATTCAATTATTTTTAAGCTTATCTGATCTAATTATTTTATCCAATAAAAAAATAATTGCTTTCCCACATTTATCTTAAATTTTTTTGTTAAATAATTCGAATATTTTTGCATGCTAAATCATTTGTGTTAACTTTGCAAAATTGAACGAAGTTGATGTGTAAGGAAAATAAGACCATATATATTTTGCATAATGTAAACAAAATAGGTAATTTTCTATGGCCATTCTTAACTTTTTCAGTTTTCATAAATTATAACCTTCCACCTCGCTACGAAGCTGTTTCTGTGTTCCTAATTTATTTAACTGCTTAAAAGCTGAACGATTTATTAACTACAGTTTTACATATTTGCCTTTTATGACTATATTTTGTCATGATGTCTCAACGATGTACTTGTTATTTGAAATAATAGAAAGAATAATCTAAAAATTGTGCTTGAAAAGTGTATTGAAACGTTTCTAACATATTTTAAAAGCATTTACGGGAGCTGATTATAAATATATTTACACGGTGTCTACAACAATTACAAAAATGATCCTCCCTTTTTTTCTATTGTACTATCAAAGTTCTTTTCTTTGCCACTTAAAAAGCTATGCATTTAGTTTTTTTATTCAATTTTTTTTTATTCAATTTTAAGTGAAGTTTCCAAATATAGTCAGGACATGCATCAAATTGAGTAAATTTTACGGGATTTTTACAGGAGAAGAATTGTGATTTGTGCTTATAGTTGAGTGCGTTGTGGGAAATGCTAAGCAGACGTAATGTAAAAGTCGTCTTTGAACGCACAAAGAACTTTTATTAATCAAGAAAAAAATTATGACTTAAGCATCACGTAACTTTTTAAGAAGAAAACAGTCCACGTCAATATTCTTCTCTCCACAATATGAGACAGCTATAATCACTCCATACATTCATATATCTGTATATAATCACTCATGGGCTGCAATAGCGTCACGACTAAAAAAACACGCGTATTGGACTAAGAGCAGGTGTAAATATGAAAATACACATTCTTTCAGCAGCAATACTAGCACAACTCATAATTCAACTTGAAAGTAATCTTAGTTTAAGCTGTTGCTGTTGTTGTTAATTTACGTCGCACTAGAGCTGCACAATGGGCTAATGGCGACGGTCTGGGAAACATCCCGGAGGATGATCCGAAGACATGCCATCACAATTTTGATCCTCTGCGGAGGGGATGGCACCCCCGCTTCGGTAGCCCGACGACCTGCGCGCGAAGTCAAGCACTTTACGGAAGCACAGTTTAACGAGGACCAATACCGTACACCCATCTCAAAACTTGATATGTTTAATTGTGCCGCTATTGCAGCCCATGAGTGATATATCTAATCAGGATTTGTCTTTTTGTTCTTAATTGATTGAATCTTGAAGCATAAATTTAATATCCGATCAAAAGCATTTGCATAATGAGGGTAAAAAGAACGCACTTATAATTAAGACGTTAATTTACCTTTAGTTTGAACATATAAAAATAATTTAAACTTTAAATAAATAAATAAAAAAAATCCAAGAAAGAAACAGTTTTCTTTCTCTCCAGAGTTTAGAAAACTTAAATGTCTCCTCCTGAGTAAATCTATTCTTTCTCCCTCTTCTAATGGTTTTTTGAACTCATGATTTCTGACACTCTGTTCTTTTTACTCTAACCTTGTTCCCTAAAATTCGTAGTCTGAAAATTTGTAGTTTCTTGTGTTGCCATTAGAAATGAATATTTTATAGGAGTTTCAATGTTTCTTTTTGCACATGAAATTATGCTACCACAAACAGGAGATGGCAATATAGGATTCTGAAGACACTCTACGACATGGGACTACGTGGTAACTTACCTTAATTCCAGAAAACTCTCTGTCGAAGCAGTATTTTTGGGTAAAATTGGGTACTACATTTTGAATTGGTAGTATACTAGGACATTTAAGTTGCACATAATTGTTTCATACTTCTTACCATTTTAGTAAATTTACAATTAAGTCTTATCCATTTTGAATGCATATACTTTTTACAGTGTTTTAGAGTTTTCGGTATTTTATCTGATTTTATACATGTGCTTTACTTTACCTTTTAATCTGACTTTAAACCATGTGTTTCGCTCAAAATGTCCTTTTTTGAACCTTGTGCCACTAAAGCCTTCATTAAATTTAATGCTACAAAAAATCTACACATTTGTTTTCTTTAATATTACTATTCACTTAATCGCATTTTACTTGACAGCAAGATTTTTTCGATCTTCTTCATAATGTATGCATGCATTACTGGAGCTACAACTATTTACAATTTTTCTAATTACCTTTAAACTAATTTTCTATAAATTTAAATTTAAAAAAAAAAAAAAAAACTCAACAAGCTTAATAGCGAAAATTATAAAATGAATAAATAAATACCAACGCAATAATTATTTACACACATTTTTCTGTTAAATCCTGACTTGATATTTTTTATAACTTCAAGAGTTATTTCACGCAACTTTTATTTCTTATTTTTCATTTTCCGTGAAGATTTAATATATACACTGTGCACGCATCAAATTGAGTATATTTTAAGGTATTTTATATAAAAATTCCACTTTGAAGCCTCTTGTGTTGCATTTGGAAAGGAATATTTCATTAGTTGATTCCATGGTTTTGTTCCGCATGGAATTATGCTTTAAAAAATCTGCATATTTTGTTTTGCTATTATTTATTACAATTCATTACCAGTAACTTTATAGCATTTTTCTTGAAATCTAACTACAACGAAATCTTATTGACATTCATAAAGTCAGCGAATATTACTCCTTAAATTATAGTTTTTTATCAACAAAGTGGCCTATCGTGACTCTCGCGAAAACAATAACTAACTTGACATCAAGATTTTTTTAAGCTTCTGCATCATTTATTTATGCATTGCATCTGTCTTGGGTAACTATGTTAGAACTGCAACCATTAAATGTTCTCCAACTGCATTAAACGTACTGAAATAGAATTTTTCTGTAAATTCCAAGTTTTCAAACTAAACCCTAAAAAATTCTAAAACAAAAATAATAAAAAAATATTAAAAATGTAATGATTACACGCCCATTTAATAACTTTTGCACCATCTTATAACGTGTAAGGTACATTGTATAATCATAAGTGAAACTTGTTATTATCTATTTCATTAAGATTTAAAAATATCTGGACAAAGATATTGTAACAAATTTCGTTAGATTGTTTAATAGTAAATAAATATTATCAAACTCTTATATTCATTAAAAAATTCATTTTTTATTTAGAAATTTAATTTTATTCTATAACATTTCTTTTATTAGGCTCCAAAATGTGATAAGAGAAATACGACTATTGCATTAAAGAAAGCGTAATCAAATAAGAGCTTAAAAAATTTCATTTTAACAATTTCAAACAGGAACGCATACTATTCATAAAAGCATTATAAAATAAGTTTAATTAAAAAGAAAACTACTTTTATATTCTAAAGTACGTGAAATAATATGCATCATTTCAAAATGGTTCAATTCTTACTTGCTTTAGTTTTAAACATTAACTCTAATTATACATAGAGCATATAGCAGTTCTGAAAAAAATTAATGTATGCTGAAAATCAAATCTTGATTCAATAAATGAAAGTAAAACTACGAAAAGAAATAACTGTCTTATTAGCATATGCTTCAGAGTTCATTATGTTGTAACACTGACGATAATGAAGTCAGAAATCTGCAAGGAATTTCTTTTCGCTATTGACACTAATTTTTCTAATTTGCTCATTTTCTATTTATAAACTTTCGTTATTAAATCCTCTTATCAGATATGTTATTTTTATTATATACATATATTAGCGTAAGTATAAAAAGAATCTAATTGCGAATAAAAAGATAGTAAAATGATTTAGTGAAATGTGAGACTTAATTGAAAAATAGTAGTTAATTATCCATGATCAAAGATATTTTTGCTTATGATTGAATAATGCTCTCGTTGTAGTTCTAAAGTTACCATAATGATCTTAATCTATCTAATCTCTTTTAATCATTGCTGCGCATCAGAAAACTGACAATTATATATATATATATATATAAGCNTATATATAGGATGACGGACAAAGCACAACGTGATGCACAAAAAAATACAGAAATAGACTAGAACTTTTGTCCGTGTTTAATACAAAGATATTTTTAAATTAGAGTAACGTTTGCTGAGAAAGGTTCTCTATTATAGAACCTAATGGATGTTCGGTACATTTTCTGTACCTATATTTCAGCTTTATAAACGTTGCTTTTGTACTTTTTTTATTCCTTCATTGGATTTTATTGTTTGGTAATAGTTTTGGTTTCGTGAACAAAAGTCTTTGCCGTTGCTTAATTAAAATAAAATTTTTATTTAGTCACTGTGGAAGATTATTGCTTATGGAACATAATTAATGGTCTGCCCATTTCTGTATTTATAATTGTTCTTTAATCAATCTGCTTTTGTAATTTTTTTATTGAAACATTTTCTTATAGAAGATGAATTCTAGTATCAAAAGAATTAAAATAAGTCGCAGATTTATTTGGATTATTGTTACATACAACTATTATATCTGATTCTAAACATTGTAACACAATTAATTAGAAAATAGGAACTAGAGTAGTACGACAAGCATAACATGAATTTATTGAGACGACTTTTTCGACGAGCAAACTATTACTTCGGTAACAGAAGGTTGCTTTTCATCTCGTAACTTCTGCATTGCTGATAACTTAGTTAATTTATTTCATATCTATGGTTTAGCAGAAAATAATTAAATTCAGGAAAAATCTGCTCTCTCAATATTGCAATAAGTTTTTTCATTTTTTGAACTTGCGTTATACTTGTGTCATTAGAGTAGCTTTAATGCATTAAATTTATGTTTTATAATTATTTAGGAAACAATATAAGTGAATTTGATAATAAGTTTCAGTCTATCCAGGAAAAGGTCTCGATCTAAAAGCAGGATACTATTGACGGGCATCTCACCCATAACTTGTCCTCTGTGCCCTATATTTTTTAGTTCTTAAGTAAATATGTTTCCTCTTACTTAGTGATACTTTTTTGTAGTTAATTTCTTAAATATATTTTCCATCTTGATTTGGCTTCAGAAAAATTTTAAAGCTTCGAATGCTATGCCAGTAGACTTTCAGACAGATTGACTCATCAAGTTACCACTTGATAATTGGTGTTTTTGGGATAGTTGGACAGGTCTCATGACCTTATAAATTGTCTCAGTGATCATCCTACTGTCCAGAATACACGAGAACTCAGAAGCTTCTATTGACCATCAGTAACCGTCAATAGAAGCATATGACCCCTGACTTTTGAACCGTAAGCAGTCAAATTGTCCGGGATCTGAAGAAGTTATCGCGAAAGTAGGACTGTAAAAATTGGTTTTGTTGGACGGAGAAGATTTGTTTTTTCCGCTCTTCTTATTTACGTGAGGATTCAGTAAATATATTACCATTGATAAATAATTTTTTTAACTTTTTCATAAGTATAACTATTTTGTACCTTAGAACGAAAGATATTTTTTTCCATTTCATGAAAATATCATATTTTAAACTTTGTCTAATCTCACTGCCAATAAGCCAACATAACAGTGTAGCTAGTCATCGATGATGCAGAATTTTGAGTTCTAACTAGCTTCTCTAATACGACAAAGTTTTTGGAATCCAGTTAGCATCCAAAATAGTACTAAACATCATCACCACTCCGCCAAACTTTCAGAAGTGTCTCTTAGTAACAAGAGTGTGACAAGTTAAATAATAATTCAGTACCTTGCCAAGTTTCAACTCTGTTAAACAAAATAATCGAAATGAACAAGTTTGTTCAATTGGTTGAAGTTGTTATCATAACAGATGAACCAATTAAATTAAACTTACAAATTTCTTATCTGAAGAATTTTTCAAAATCTAACATTGAAACAGCTTAGCAAGCATACTGGGATTTTTACAAAACTGATTCAGGTAAGAAATATGAAGAACGTACTGCCGAGAGTATAATCACTATTCTAACAGATTTGAACAAGAAAAACGATACAGTTCACAGGACATTCGTAATTTAGAACCTATTTAACGATAGAACAGCCTGATTGTGCATTTACCTAAAATCACCATTTGGGATCAAATTGTCTCTTATAAGAATTTATGGTTATTCCGACGTAAATATATTTTTTTAATTTATGAATATTATTAACAATATAACATATAAGGTTTCTGGAGATTAAAAAAAGTTACTGGTCTGCTGAAAGAGTTACTGGATCCTGGAGTTACTTGTCTACTTTATCTTTCGAATGTGGCACCCAAAGGGGTAATTTTATCTCGAAGTTTACAGTCCATGTGCTCTTTGGTACGTGCTTCACTCTAGACGAGAAGAAGGAGGTTATGTCCCACCCTTTTTTAATTGGCTGGTACGGCATGCTTAGCACCCTGCTAGGGACTACTTGCCCCATCAGGGGGGTGCCCCTGAACTCTGTTAGTTTGGGTAGATCCACGCTCTTCTGGTGTAGTTCGATACTTGGAGCTACCCTGGACAGAGTATAGAGGAAGTTTAAAGAGTCTGTATTTCTATTCCACTTGTTGGGCTCGATGGTGGGATTGGAAGGGTCCAGCGGATGTCCTCATGAGTTATGGATACAACAAAAAATGATTCGTAACAACTACTCACCTTAATTTCATCTATATGAATGCCCTAATTATGATACAACTAAAGCTAGAGCTCTAATTCTGAATTCGACTGAACAAAAAACTTTGAATTGTATCGTCATTAATTGTCCGAAAATCTCTAGAAAAATAAACGGGAAACCCTAAAAACGTTTGACGGGAGGCAGCCAGAAGACTTATTAGTTGAGACTAATTCTGTTAAACAAACGACTCCTCTCCTAAAATTAAATAATCAAAAACAAAAACGAACCAACCGTCTCCGAATTGGCCACTCTCGTTTGCCGCATCTTCGTTTGCTGTTTGGAGATCCACCTCCGAATGCAACGCATGTAATGTTTTACATTCAATTCATCATATTTTAAACTTTTGCCATGTTTTAATCTTCATCATCTTATCTTTTTTGGCTTTTCTGTTTTATCTATAGAGGTTTGGTAAGATGACACCCATCATCCTAATATTTTTGCGTTTCTACACGTAATTGGCATTTTACTGTATATAATCTTTTATATTTTCTTTATGTTTTATATTGTGTATAACGTTTTATTTAAAAAAAAACATTTATATACGGTTTTATACGGTATATAAATGTTTTTAAATTATTTTCTTATAATTTTTTTCACTAAAAAAATTTAAATTTTATCCTAATTTTAAGGACGCTTTACACCTGTTTCATCTTGTGTTATCGTTTTTACACTTTGTCTGATTTTATTCACTTTTCAATGTCCATGTTACATTGCGTACATTTTTAGTAAGAAAAATAGAAGAATGTTCTTTATATTTGATTTGAAACCAATTTTTTTGTGGCAGCATGTACTTTGGTGGACCTTGCGTATTTAATCCAATTCTTCTGTAGCACGAAATCTATTAGACTTAGAAACCTAAAAAAATACGAAGCTGTATAGAAAACTCTACAGGGAGAACGGTTTAATAAAAGACTTCACATTCGATAATTAGTACGAGATTTATCAAGTGTTAAGCATGTATTAAAAATTCTGTAAGGAGTGTTCTGCAGACTGGTGAAATGTAACTATCTATGCTAAGAAAAGCTTATTTTATACCTGAACGTAATAAGTTTTTTTTTTCTTTTTGGAAATTCAACTTGTTTGAAAGTTAATGCGTTTTTGCGTTTTTTTTATGAATGCTTTTCTTATTTTTTTGTTTCAAATATTTTTTCATTGTTATAAAGAAATACTTTTTTCTCTGTCGAGGTCTTTATTTCATAAGTTCGTGCTTAAATTTATGTCAAGCGAAAGTAACAAAAAAATTATATGTTACATATTTGCTTAGCTATTATGTAGGACGTTTATAAAATAAAAGAACTTAATATTAGTAGACAAAAAACATCCCTATATAAAATCCTTTCTTTTCTGAGTAAAATTAATTCTCATTTATTTATCTTTTTTGTGGTGATCCAAAGTTTGTATTCATTAGGTTATTTTTTTCAAGTACAGTTGATTTTTTTTTCAAATTCAAATAATCATCCATTTCTTTTATATTAATATAACGGCAAAATGTTTGTAAATAAAACTAAAATAATTGTCTATTTTGACTTTAAAAAATAATATTTGATATTTAGTTTTGATAAAATATCTTTTTAGCGAGAAAAGAAAACAGTTATGAATAAGAAGAAACTTCATGGGTTACTGAGTAGAACTCAAATCCTGACTAAAAAATTTTTTTTGTCAAAATTTGTGTTTAGTAATATCTATTACTAAACAGATTTCTAACTGTTCTGAAAATAATAATTTTGATTCAATTGAGAAGAAATAAGTAAATAATTGCATTGTTTTGTGAAAAGTAAATAAGCTTCAATCAAAAGGGAAATGTTTGAAACAGGTGGGAAAAATAGAACATAAATGCATAAATCAGTGGTGCGATGACAGTAATCTAAAGAAAGCAGATGCAAGCTTCGAAAACAATTTGAGAAAAGCCACGTATTGACATCTTGCTTATGTGTTTCATTGTTTATTGTTTGGGAGTAATCACAACATGTCACGAAAGAATAATTGCATTGATTTGAGAATATAAATATCTAACAATGTCCCACATTAGTTTATATTCTTGAAAGATTACTTGATTCAATGGTAAGATTTCACTTACGTTTATTCGAAACAGTTTGAATCTGTTAAATATTTATTGTAGTTCGATATGTTCATAAAATCTCAGCTATGTATGTCTTCTAAAAAAGTAAGCTTGTTGAAAATGCAAATCTCTTTCGTTTATTAGCTGCTTTTTTTTAGATTTTTTACATGAATTCTGGTTCAGTGCATTTTTTGTTCTTTATTACTTTATTCTTACGTCAGGAATAGCCGTTAGTAACATTTATTGTGATCATTGCAATGTATGCTAAAAACTTATTCGGTGGTGTATAGACTCAAAAAAATGAATAATGCTGTATCACTGCGAAAGATACAGCATCGTTCATTCTCCATCCATATTCAACTAATAACGACGCTTTTATTCTAGTGCTGATTTTTTTTATTATTGAACTACATTTTAATTCGACGAAAGTAAGTAAAGTTTTAGGTTTTGACCGCCATTTAATTATTTTCAGACCTTAATAGCTGCTCCTTGATGTTTTCTTTCCGATATTTTTTTATGTATTTTAAGCTTCAGTACTTATTTAAAAGTGGAAAGGAGGAAAAATTTATAAAGTGGACACTTTAAATTTATAATTAATACTAGTTTTACAAATTACTAAATTATGAGAAATATATGTATTTATTGGAAAAAACAGTAGCAACAGTTCATCACATCTTTATAGCAACAATATTGGGATCTTAAAATTAATACTAAAATGCACTACGTAAAATCAGATGTTAACTTTTTACTTGTATAGCGTCTACGGCATGCAAATGTCAAGTTAACCCGTTTATGAATAGTAAAAATACGGTTGACGCACCTAAATTACCTATTTAGAGAATCTCCTCCTCAATGCAACACTGTTCATCGTATTTTAATCATGCTTTAGCCAACATCGTCTTATCTTTTTCGGTAGTTTCCTTTTATCTGTTTATTATTTATTAGGTGTTATGTAGCTTTAATACTTGAAGGAATAAAAATATTTAGGAATTTTTATGAAATGCGCAAAATTCTTTTATTTTTAGTACAAACAACATTCAGAAAATATATTTATAACAACTAAAACTATCTTCATATGGCAGATGGAGCTGTATTTCATAACTGTTTATCTTGAAATAAATAGATGAATACAGGTGACCAAAAAGTAATTTAACTCTTGCAATTATTTTCCTAAAATGCATACTTATAAAAATGCTTTGAAGTAGTTTATAAATCATTGCAATATTGCAACTATATTTTAATTAATTTTCCATTAATTCGTCGTGTGAGTGACAAAAGGGAAAAATAAAAACACGTTATAGTTCGTAATGAAAGAATTTTAAACTTAATTTCATCCGATTGTAGGCATATTTTCATTATTAAAGATTTACAATCCACTTTAGTAGATTGTAAATCTAAGGAAATGCAGATTTAACAATATTAATTTACACATTTATTTAACAATAAAAATAATTTTATTATTAAAACTTTTATTTAACAATAAAACAGTTTTTACGGTAGTATATTGTATGAAGATAGCGAAATTAAATTTATATTCTAGGTTTCAATAAAATATAGAACAAAAAAGTAGAACAAAATATATTTTTTAATACTTTCATACGAATTTTTCTTTTATCTGAATTTATCCAAATTATATAAGTACAGAAAATATTTTTGCAATCTGTTTCATATGTGATAATCCGAATTGGCTTTTCACACATGTAAGTAATTCGTTATTTATTAATTCCAAATAAATAATTTTCTTAATTAATATTTGAATCATATATCCGGATTTCCTATGTATAGTATTTTTCCTAAACAATAGAAATCAAACATAGCAAATTCAATTCGTTTAATCAATTTGAGTCAAATGAGGCGTTTTATATTTCCACCAAAATCACCTTACCGTGTATATTCTAGCAAAATTGCTTAAATATTGCTTAGTTACAGTAATTTTCCTATAAGCCAGTAATGAGGATTCGTTCAAGGTAGTTCACTCAATTATTACTTTGCTTCGGTCATACATTCGCATAAAGTGAGCATTCCTTTAAAATTTAATTCAATAGTGATTTAATGCATGAAAATATATCTTTTTATTCGGCCATGTAAGTATTACGTATCCAGTACAAATTTCAACATATAAATACTACCACAAAATACATAACTGAGATTCTATTCAAGAGTCTAATTCAAAAATTTATTTAAACTGTTTTTATTTCTTGGGTTATTTTAATTTACAAATTCAATAAATTCGGGATCTTGCTTGATGCCAGCCTAATTCTTTATAGGTGGTAGATATTTTAATATTTTGTGGTTTGAATTACAATTTATCGACACCCAAAACTCCATATGCAATTAAATCAGAAGGTTTGAGTCAGAATTAATTCACTTAGCCTGCATTATTGTGCCTTCAAAAGAAGAAAGTATGCATGATACAATAATGCATGGTTTGGCTGTTTTTTTTTCTCTATGGAACTCAAATTTGTTTTCAGTCATGTTCATACATAATCTTTAAATACGTAAACGCATCAAACTTTCATGCGTATTGATTTCTAATCGTATTGTTATTTATTTGTTTCTTTTTACGATATTTTGAATCTGGAAATGTTAGTTTAATTCTACAAATTTATAAAACACGAAATTTTATTACTTCCATATTTATTTCAGAACTTTTTCCTATCTCTAATATATCTATTATAAAAAACTGAATATATAGTGAATAATTATTAATTCATATCTTATTTTTATTGAAAATATTATCCTTACAACATTGTTTGTCACACTAATATCACTCAACGGAATTAATTTCATAAAAAAAAAAATACTTGGTAATTAATAAAATTGAGCCTTTAACTGATGGTCTTAGTATCAGGTAAAGTAGGTTAGGTTTTGCATATTTTATTATCACTATTCATTGACTAACCCTTTTAGCCATACTCGTTTACATTTGACTAACAATGAGATGGTTTTATCCAAATAACGCCATTTAACAGATAAAGAATACGATGCATACCTAAAATGTGACAAAAAAATAAATTTACATAAAAAATACCTTTAAGCAATTTCTAATCAGTTCAGTAATTGTGCAAAAATCATAACTTTCATAATCAAATTTTTTAAGACATTGAAGCAAACAAACAAATGGCCGAAACGTTTTCACTGATCCATAAATGATATGGTGAACGTCTACAGCTTGTTCTGTGTGATTTTTGTTTCATGAATGCAGCAATCCAGTCATTTCACAGATAAAATATGACTATCTGTCCTAAATTTTCTGTCCTAAGACTATTAAGTTCAAATTTTATCTACATGGTCAGCTTTTTTGAAATTCATTAACCTAATAGTTGATACAACTCTAAAATCTCTTTTTAAATAATTGAAAACTTCCACTTAATTTATATTATATATCATTTGATTTTTCAGGTAAATGTGTAATTTATGAACATGTACACAAATATAGCTTTTGTTTTGGTGCTGTTTTTTCTGCAATGTTACGAAGGGCATAAAAGTAACCTATCTCTCACTTATTTAAAATTTATAAATTAAAATAATTCCAGTTTAATAATTATTTTTTTTTAATTCTCATATAGTATCTTCTGAAATAGACGTAATTGCTTCTGCTGACAGCAGGTTTGTATAAAAGTTCTTGTTTAGTTAAAATTTGTTTTAAATTTCTAACATATTTCATTTATCATCGTAACTTGAATCCGTACTTTTATAATTTTTTTGTGTTTATTCAAGTGTTTTGATATCGCTAATGCCAATATCTCGCCTTTTCATTGTTCACGACACGTGATTGCATTTGTCATATTGCCAAAGTTATAAATCCATTTTAATTTAAATTTATTGTCAATTTTGTCACGTTATAATTGAGTAAATAATAAAAAATATTTATCAGTAAATAAAAAATAAAAACTCAAAACTCACTTTAACCAGGTCAAACATCGATTTCATAAGCATACTGAATTAAAAGGAACCTAGTTAATGTGAGCTTTGAGTTCTTATTTTTTATTTTCTGATGAATTTTATTTTCTGATGATTTTCTAAATTGGTTCTTTGTATTTCATGTTTTTTTTTTCCTGGACTTCTATACAAAAACTTCGGGGTGCTGAGGGTGTTACTTTAGGCATTTGCCTCCCCCTCAATAGAAAAGGTTTTGTTTTATGGCTAGCGGGGCCGGTACCCTCTGAAAACGTCAGCTTCGGTGGTCATATTTTTATTTCCTTTGTTTCCTTTATTGGTACATTTATCCTTTTTGTGAAATTTCTGCTGCTTTTAAGCTCGTTTTTTCCATAGAAGTTTTGATAATTTAGATTTTAAAAAAAATTGCTTTCTTTTAGAATATGTGGATTCTCATACATATAAATGGAGTTTAAAGATTTCAGAAGTTTGAGGGACAGACAAATTTCGGACGTAAAACAATGTCTTTGAACACCCTATTTCAAAAAATGAAGCAATAGATTTTTAACTTGTGTCTGTTTTTTTGGTTATTATATGCAATAATTAAAGAAAATTTTGTAATCCTAGCTCAAGTATTTATTGAAATATAAATACTTTTATAAAAAAACTAACTTTTATGCCTATTATGTTTTAATTAACTATTATGTTAAGTTTTTTTTTCTATAACTTTAAAAATATTCAAAAAATTAAACAATTTTTTTAGTTCAATTTAAAAATAGCTCAAAAATTTTGCTTTAAAATTTAGGGAAAAAAAATTTAAAACTGCGCATGATATGAGTAATTAAAGTATTTTATTTCTACTTTGCATGAGCAGGAAAAATAAAACTTTTTGTTTCTTAATTATGTAATGAATCGTATTTGGTAACTAATAAAAAATATCCGACTTGAATCTAAAAAATTTAAAAAAGTTTAAAACAATTTTATATGAAGCTCTCATACTTTTTTAAAAGAGAGTTCAAAATGAATTTCCACACATTTCATTTTGTACTATTAAGCAAGAATTTATTAAAATTGACACCGGCATTGTTGGGGAGCACCCACATAAAAGTATATTTTTATCTACTTTTTCCTTTCCTTACTAAATTGCATTTAGGTGTATGAACATATTTGGTGAATGAACGTATTTGATGTATGAACGTATATTATTTGTTATTAAATTCTGTCTTATGATACGAAATATTTGTTAAAAATCCCATATTATTTTGAGCTTTCTAGTAAAAAGAACGAAAACTATTTTGAAAATTGCTTGTAACGTTTCTAATTTTTAAGATATTCAAATCAGACTTTCTTCATTAGTTGCCAAATACGATTCACTGCAAAATTGCGGATTTATTTATAAATTTTCCCTCGCATGAGCAATATAAGAGATCGAATTTAATTACTCATATTTGTAAAAATTGTTTTCAAATTTTAAATGGATATTTTCATTGTTAATCAAAAATTACTCAACAAATTTTGTTTCATGTTAAAGAATATTTTTAAAATTACAGCAAAAAAACTTAAAACAAAGAAAAATTTTGTTTTTAAAAGAATTTTCATATATCCCTAAACATTTAATCCACGTTTTTGAAATTTTTTGTGTAAGTCTTGCATATAATTACTAAGATAATGTCCCAAGTTGCAAACCTATAGCTACATTTTTTGGCATAGGTTGTTCAAAAACATTTTTGGTTTGTAATTTATTGTCGGTACTTAAACCTCTAAAAGATTTAAACTTCATTGATATGTATCAGAAATCGCAGCAATTATGAAGTTATAAAATGGTTCGTTAAGTATTTCTGGAGAATTGCGAAAAACATTATTAGTGTAGAAGTATATCCATTATTTTGTCCAACCCCTGTAAAAACAAAATATTAATAAATTGTTCTTTTCCTATTTTAGTGACCAGAATATGGTGTTTCTAAAGGGCAAATTTATTTGTAATAAAACCTGCAAAGGTTTGCCTAAGTCATGCATTGATTGCGGTAAACTTATACTCCAAGGATTCAAGTAATTAATGTGCACGAAAATCTTATAAAAATAAAAATGCATTGTACTTAAGCATTACAATACAGAATATTTAAAAAATAAAAATATTATGATGCTACATGCATATTTTTTTTTCAAATTCGCATGCATACTTTTTGCAACACGATAAACATTTTCTTAAACATGTGTACACCAAATCATGTCATTATTATTTTTAATTTTAAAATTATGCATTTAGAGACAGTCACAAAACATTTAAAAATATTATTTGCCGCGAAAATATATGCTTTCTTGATGTCTAGCCTTTTTTACTTAAAATTATAAAAATTAAATTAATGTATAATGAACCATTTTATTTTAAAACTATCTGTCATTATTTCTTTCTTCGCTAGAAAAACAACTTATTACAACTTACAACAATTAAAACAACTTACAATTATTAAATTTTCCTTGTTAAATCATGCAAATTGTTTTACATTTTAAATTCGCCTTATTTAGTTTTTGCGCCAGGAAAATAAGACTTCTGAAATTGCAAATGTAAGCAAAATAAATTTCATCATGTGATAGAACTACTAAGTCTATTACAGTTGTTGATGAACCTAATTTGTTTTAGATTGAAGTTCAGAAATTAAGAAAAATCTCTTTCACTGAGAAGAAGATTGATATATAGAATATTTTCCTCGGATGGGTTTATTTTATATAAATATATTTTCTTAAACTCTGACTAATGATGTAATATTTTTGTATTTATTTTATCATTATTTTTTCTAACTCCTAACACTTTATTTGCAATTTAATTCATTATTTCCATAAATTATGAACTTCTCAGAAAAATTTTTACTCACCTTCTTCAGAAGCTATTTCTGCTCTCCTTAATTATTTAAAGGCTTGAAACCTGAACTCTTCATTAATAATTGCAGTTTTACATACTTGTACTTTCTGATTATATTTTGCACTGATGGCTTAAGGATGTGCTTATTATTTGAAATAAATGCCTGTTATTGAAACTCAAATCGTTACACAAGAAATCAAATCAGTTTTTAGTATGCTTGCACAATTTTTATTTTAAATTAAGCAGTTGAAAATATAATAAAGAATTATTTGATCTGATTTCTAATAAATTGGTAGTAAAATAGTTTGGATATAAATTATTCTTTTCGTTCTGAAAATGTTCCTTACCTGGCTCCTCCGTTAAATTTTTCCTTTAATACAACTAAAATAATTTCAGTTTATTTAAGTTTATTTCAGTTAATTTAATATTTCAGTTTTCTTAATATTATTTATGTCCCTTTTCGGTGGTTGTACATTATTTGAAGTAAGCAAAACTCATTTTTATTGCTCATCCCATTAAAATAAAGCTAAAATGCATTTAGCAACATTTGGCATGATGCTATTATTCGCAATCAACTTATAATAGTCAAAAATTGCCACTATCAAGTAATTTGATCCAGTACATATCCCTTTCGAGGTGCTGTAAAACACTAATTTCGAAAGAATTGGTCCCTCTAGGGGCACACATTTGTGTGACGGTTCCAACTGGACTTTAGTAATCTTCCATTTCTCTCTTGTGACGGTCCTGTTTTGAGTTTCCGACTTTTCAACAAATATTTATATTGACATAGTGAGCGAATATCAATAAATTTAGTATAAAACACTGATTATCTTTTACAGATTATGGATCTTGCTTGTTTTTTTGCTGTTTTTGTTGAGTCTCTTAAATTTTTAATCCTGTTTCACCCATTTATTTTAAATAACCAATTTTTCCTCAGTACATTTTCCGACCACAGTGCTGACGTAAAGTATCCTCAGTGGTAAGCATATCATGGGTTTGAGTTCCCTTATAGTCAGGATGACTGTGGGAGGTCTATGAGATTTTCCTCTCCATGTAACGCAATTGCGAGTAAGTTCAATCAAAAAGGTAAATTTTCACGAAGGTGAATTTCCTTTGTCCCGTGTCTTCTGAATTGGCAAGACTACGGCGTTGAACATTAGTAATCGTAAATCCGAAATTGGATCAACTGTTCCACGACGAAAATAAAATAAAATTCATCCAGAGGTGTATTTTCTGTTAAGTCACTACAATTTATCTCAGATAACGACGTCGTTGAAGGTCTCTCCAAAGCTTAAATGCTCATCATATCACAATTAAAAGAGGTAAAGACATATACTAATGACGCAACATTTGCTTTTGACTTTCGAATCAGCTACAATATCCTCAGATTTAAAAGTAGGCTAACTAAACTGTGAAGTACACTTGTATATATCTAATACTCTTCAATATGTTAAATGTCTAAAACTCGGACATTACACCAATAATAGGCGAGGAAAGGAAACCTTTTTTCGTTGCAGTGAACCAGGATATACTTTTAAATCTTATAATCAACCAGTAAAGTGCATCAATTGTAATCAATCTCAATTTACTTATTCCTGACGCCGTTCTAAATGTAAACAAGAAAAACAAATCATGAATATAAAAGTAGCACATAATCTATATTAAACTTTGGTAAAAGCTAAATCTTTAAATTCTCAACCACGACCAAACGTTTCATATTCTGCTGCAGTCACCAATGGAAGACAAACAAAATCAATTGGTACACGATATAGTGTAAAAGTAACAAGACGTAAGAATGCTGAACAAAAAAGTTAATTAACTAAAGTAAAAAAGCAACATTTGCATTAAGGACTCCATTATCTACATCATCTCGAGTAACACAAAATCCTCTTAATTCTGCTGCCCAATCTAAGCCATCCCAAAACGTGAAAAAATATTGTAAATGCATAAAATTTACTCCACAACAGGCTAATGTCATACTCAAAAAACTTATCCTGTCTTCAAGTAAACCTAAATACGTTCCTAAAAGTCGACAAAAAAATTCAAGAAAAATAGAAAACTCAGAATATGAGTCAATGAATCCCTTAAACAAGAAATTCAACTTGAAGATGGGATGGAAACTCCTAACAATCTGCGCCCAAAAAGTACAGTACTAAAAATTAAGAGATAAAGGCCTATGAAATTGTATCTTGGAACTTCTGTAGTTTTCATTTCACTTTACCAGATAATAAAACCACAATGGTCCATATAATAATATTAGCCTATATGCTTTGTACGTCCAGAAACAATACTTAAACACTTTCAAACAGCTAATGCAAAATTGTACACACATGTACGAAAAGAGTACATTGATTGAAACAAAACATGCGGAGAAATATCACTCCTCATCTCAAAAAACTACCTATATTTATTAGTTCTACTGAGAACTTCATTACGAGCCGTTGCTGCTCAAATAACGTTTCACTCAGTAATTACACTATGTTGCTTATCAATCCAAAAAACTGATCTTTCGAATCTAATTATCAATGATGATTTCAACGGACATAATATTCCGTGGGGCAGCCCCGTAACTAATCCACGTGATTCTCAAATAGAGAAAGTTATTGATGACCATCAACTTTGCTTGTTAAATACAAGTGAAATAACACACTTCCATTTTACCTTTCGAGCATACCATGCTACTGATCCTGCGTTCTGTTCACCTCGCATTTATGAACTCATCCAGCTGTATGTTGAAGAAAATATCTACCATAGTGACTATTTCCCACTTATTGCAACTATGTTAGTTCCAATACCAAATAACAAAATCTGAAATCCGAAGGAAATCTGGCCAATACAATACCTCTTCAGTAACACGTCTTGAAACCAATAATACCAAACTTACAGATATAAAAAAAATCGCTAACATTTTACCCAAACATATTTTGAAGTTTTCAAGTCAATCCCACTATTCAGCTTCCTTGCAAGAATATAAAGCAAAAATTGAAAAAAATAGCATTAAAATATCATTTATAGCCACGTAACAAACCACTGTACTGAATACATGCTCATAACCTACATACTTATAAATAAATGGATGGCTCAAAATCTACTGGATATGTGGGCTGCGGGGTCATTATATCTGATGAAACTTATAAAACACCTTATTTATGGTTATAGTATAAAAACCGAGATTTATAATTAATATAAACTTACTGTAACATATAGAAAGTACAAGATGCAAATAATTAATAGCATTAAACAATTTGTTGAAGGGAAAAGTGTCCTATGATTCTTCGAATTTCGTTTTAGTAAGTCCTTAAGTTATACTTGTACTATGATATAATACCTTAAAGTTAGTTATATCTTAGTCTCTTCATACTTTTTCTTAAATCTTGTACCATTAATTCTATATTCAATCCAATCACTAGATCCTTAAAACACTACAGTTAAATCAATTATTAAATCGTTAACAGTATAAATGAAATATAGGGAGAGAGATAAAACATCAACATATAATTAAATAAACATGTAATAAATAAATAAACATGTAATAAATAAATAAACATGTAATAAATAAATAAACATGTAATTAAAAAAAATAATAAACATAAATTAAAGGTAAATGTAATTAAAGGTTTTTATAAACAAAAGAATAAATCATTAGACGACATGTGTCAAGAGCTCTAAAAGTAAGCGCCTATTTTCAAAACTTGCCAGACGTGAATGAGAGGAAACAAAAGTGATTTGAAATGAAAAACGTAAAGTTGCCAAAGAAAAATGAAAAAGAAAGGTAGAGGCACAAAACAAGAAAGCCACAGTAGCCGAGAGAGGAAGAGGAAAAACTGAACAAGAAGAACCAGTCGAACCGAGAGGGACATATCACGGCAGAATGCATTTCCTCACGCTATGAAATAGTGGTGAGAAACTAATATATGTAATTACATTAGCTCCTCAATTAGTTCATTTAGTTTCTCCCCTTTATTTTTCCACTTTTCTTCAGCAATACTTCGTTTTATTTCAAATAACCTTTGTTTCTTCTCATTCGCTCATTCTCATTCGCAAGTCCTTAAAATGGACGTATACTTTTTTAGCACTTGAAACATGTCGACTGTTATTTCCAATTTGTATAATTTGCAAGCAGGAGTAATTTTAATCAGGTAATATCTTTCTGCTTCAGTTTCCTGGGATTATTTATTAAAAAAGTAATTATTCCTTATTTTCAAATAGCACGAAAACAAATTAAAAATATTCCTAGGATCAGTTTTTTTTTTCCTTTAATTTCCAAAAATAATTTCTATGCTA